GTTCATTGCACACTGTCGTTTCACCTTGCGCCGACCTTCTGTCTCTGCAACATGCGATATCCTCAAACCAACAGCAGGACTGGTGCGCGTGCGTCAAAATTCTCTAATCCTTCCACACGCAATGCATCGCGAGGATTATTTGCCTGCATGTCCCCCCTTTCCTTCCCTCTATTGTATGCATACGCTTTTGTTGAGTCTCATAAATGAACGAATGAACAGCTCTCGAAAGAAGGTGCTCCATCGTTCCTTCCTTTCACATTCATGTAGGAGCGAATTTACTCCAAATGTGCGTGGAGCTATGCCGGAGTGATCGACGATGTTATGCACGACTCTGACAGCAGGTAGGTGCCGTACCAGACCTTCATCGGTTCTCGGTGGACAGAGGTGTCGGGGGTCGGGAGATGAACTTTCCATCATACTTTGTTTTTCAAATCACTGGGCACCATTTCTGAACAAAATCTCGCATTTACTGTGGAGAGTTCACTTAACCCGACCGTACCTGAGCTATGGGGTGGTACGCTTGCATCGGTGGACCTGATTGAAGGTCACGCTTGGCATGGCCTCGTCCTCTGACAAGGGAATGCCGTGGTTGGCTGGCCCTAGAACCTTCGAGAACATGACGGTACCAAGCCTACTCATGGCGGTATGCGCCCATATAGTACGATACATGGATGCGGGGTGGGGGGGAGTGGGTGAGACGCAATATATGAAGACGCACATGCATATCCCTCCGCTCTGCTCTGCATACTACTGGTGCCCTCTTCGTTTTGCATCAGTGGCGCGGCATGGGGAGAACCGCTGCGACCGCCTTTTCTCAGTTGTTGTTGTCTAGACATCGAAAGAAACAAACTTTCCGATCTCTGACGCGCCATATTTCTCAGGGGTTTACTCGGTATTTTGTATTTTACGGCCAGACAAAAATGTTTTCAACGGGGTACATCGAAGTTCCGGAGGAAAAGAAAGAAAAAATAGGTGGTGGGAAGAAAAAATATGGCGCAGAGGAGAATCGAATCCGCTGACCTCACAGCACAGCAGTTGGTTGCATCAGATACCACGCCCCCTGGACCGATTTCCAAAGCCTGATTATTCTACAGCAGAAGGAGTGGCGAGGCCGGATACGGCGACATTGGGACTGTCTCATCGAGAGCTTTTGAAAATGTATCGTTTGATTTTCGGAATCGTCTTCGTCGTGGAACAATATAGGTTGAAACATATAGTCAAGGGGGTGTCGTATCTTGTGCAACCTACGGTTGTGTGACAATCGAGCAATCCATCTAAAACAATTGGGTGTGGTGAGGGCTGGGCGTTGGTTGAAGTATGTGGACGGTAGACGCCGTCGATGCTATGTATGTGTGTGGACAGGTCAGATACAGCAGACATGCGGAGTTGTTACTGGACGTTGTTACTGTTGAAGATAACGAGCGCCCCCCCCCCAAAAAAAAACGCTAGAAGATAATTTTACCGTAAGTGCCGACCCGCCCTCCAAAAAGCTCTTTTATGAGGCTGGGCGCTTATTGACGCCTCCGGGATAATCCTCGCTCTGTAAATGGTGAGGAAGTGCCGCATACATGCAATAGGCCGAGAGCCATTGGGTGTGCAGGACCAACTGCTGGGGGCCTGAGCGTACATGCATCTACAGCACGTGGAGAGTTCGCGCCTCTCCCTACGGGAACACATGCAAAGAGATACACAACTACACAACATAGTCTACAATGTTCCCTCAACTCATCCTTCTTTTGCCACCATCCAGATATGACTGGAGGGGAACCGCTCACCTAATCAGCAACTGCTGCCGAAATGTCGCTCTCTCTTCTCCGCGCGCGACGTGTAGAAGCTCGCCTTGCCGCTCTACAGCAGCAGTGTCGTGCGGCGGGTTTAGCTCGAGGCGGTTGCTGTGCCCCGAGTCCGAGTATCTAGTCTAGTCTAGAGATAGCATAACTGTTTGCCTTGGTTACGAAAGGAATGACACCAGCCTGATCGCTATTCGCCTTGGCATGCTGCGGCCTCTGGTCGCCTGTGTTAAGGCTGGCTAGCTCGTCACACGAGGGCGATGCAGGGCCAAAAAACAGCCATGCAATAGGGGGCTCTGGTTCGGATGCCCCAAACCCCTTCTTCCCATCTGTCTCGCGGGATCCATAACGGGATCTGCGCCTTGTTGTACCCTGCACCATGTAGCTGGTACACACATAGCACTCGTGAATCCCTGCACACACTCACACAAAAGCCCAAATTGAATAGTGTATGCGTTCATTTAGTATTGTGCCAACGTATCCTGGGCTTCTATCTAGACTACAAATAGATATATATAGTCTATATCTGTGTGTTGGAGACGAATTTGTTGCGTTTTGTCAAGCCGGAAAAAAAAGAGCGCTGAAACGAAACGAATGAAGTCCAGTTATCCCCGGACCGTCGAACCGACACAATCTACAGCCAGGAGGTCTGGTCTTCGGTTGTGACTGCCTTCCAACTTGTATCATCGGTGCTTTCACAATCAGGAGGTCTGGCCTAAGGTTGTGGCTGCCTCCCAACCTGTGTGACCGGTGCTTGCACAACCAAGAGGTGTGGCCTAACGTTGTGGGTGCCTCCCAACCTTCCGCATTCACGTTTGTACAACCAAGACATCTGGCCAAAAGGTTGAGTCCTCTTCCCAACCCCCCTCTACAACCTGCCCCTACCTTGTGGATGCTCACAACCCACCGACAACCTCCCCTCTGGCCACCCGTGTAGCGTTGTTGGGGTTGTTGGTGATGCTTGAAAGAGTCGGCAACAGCGGTCATGGCTGGACTTTTTCAGAGACAAAGGGTACTCAACCGTACTTGCCGCACGAGTATCTTTTTTTTATTTATTTATTTTTTTTCTCCCATCATTGGACTATGTCGTCTGCCCCTCTGGCCCCTATCCTCCACTTCTACTAGCTAGACGACCCAACCGGGGTCACATAGGAGGGGGGGGTTGGACCACCTCCTGCGGTTCATGCCTGAGGTATTTTTATCGCGAGAAGGGTACAGCAATCCCTTCCCTCGCGACTTACTACGAAGTCGATTATGGTTTACTAACAAACGAGCTTTGCAGCGCGTCGCTTTCATCCTAGACCAGGATTTATTTAGTGAGAAAAAAACTCTCTCTGCCGGGACTCGAACCCATGACCTGGCCCTTGGCAGGCTGCGAGGCTTCCCACTAGACCACCGGGGCGACCGGTTCACCGGTTCATCTGTGCACCTCGGGAATACTAGTCTAGACTTCATGGCTACACAGGCTGGACCCTGCTGCGTTACATCAATATTTTTATTGTGCCTCGCAATGCATGCGTTGCTGTAGTTTCATAACTTCGAGTTGGCTACGGTAGTCTTCGCTCTTTCGGCAAAATCCAACGACGAACGCTTGATTTGCAACGCCATTGTGCGAGTACTGCAGCCTGCCTCGTACGTCAACCAGCCAGAACGGCAGTCTTGCATGACGAAGGTACGCAACGGGTAGCAATGACTGCTGGTGCTTGTCAACTGCTGTGACGCTTTCGACCCAGAGGGTACCCTGATGAAACCGTCATGGGTTCACCCACATATTTTGAGAGGTAGCTGTGTTGCTGATGACACCTGGCGGTGTCGAAATGCTGCAAGTATACGTACCCGTAGCGACATTGGCCGCGACGTTGATGTTGGTCACCCTCGTTCGTGCTGTGCAGTACATATAGGCTATGTCGCGCTGCGGCACCAGACTTTCCCGCTTTTGCCCTCCTCGCCTGTGCCACAATGCAGCAAACTACGTCGATTAGCGTGCTGTCTTTCTTACACACCACAATACTTCCGGCACAACGGCCACAAAATACCGGTGCACGTGCGTTCGTGCACAACATTTATTTTTGTAAGCGAGGCATTCCAACGGTAGCACGAGGAAGCTGCGGGAAAGGTCGAGATGAAGCGGCGTGTGCCACCCTGGCTATGACACACCCACAGACCCCCGTCATGACACCGTGCATGTGGTGGGTTCCTTCTTGATCGCACTTCCATCACACGGGAGACGTTGTCACCCACACGAACCTCACACACCCCAGTGTCACACCTAGAGCGCAATCATTATTATCCACCCCATCAGTATGGGAAGGGAATAAGAAGGTAGTGAAAGAACTAGAGGCGGCGCAGATGAAAGCAGCGAAAATCATCCTAGGATGCTCCAAGCGCACAAGTAATGCAGCCATCAGGGCAGAATTGGGGATCCAATCCCTACGGTCGGGAAGAGACGCGAGGAAGCTGACATGGCAGTATCGCATGTGCGGGATGGGAGAGGAGAGGTTGCCGAGAATAGTATGGGAGGCAAAGTGGGCAAACAAAAAGAGGGGTAGACAACTCGCGGAATGGGTCAAGGTTGTAGAGGACGTATGGAAGTGTGGCTCGACATCGACGAAGATGAAACGCTGGAAACGGAGGGTCTACATGGGTTCAAGGAGGAGATATCTGTTGCTGGTGTCGAGAGAGAACAGAATCTAAGGAAAGAATCCAAGGATAAGGAGGGTCTAGAAGCTTACGGAATGTTGAAGGAAGGAATAGGGTTCAAGGATTACCTACATGGACCAATGGATGCAGGAACAAAGCTTAAGGTTAAATTCAGGACCGGGGACATAGGCCTTCGAGAACGTCGACGAAGACATAGGACGGTAGACGACGAAGACGACGAGTTCAAATGTGTACATGACTGGGCTGGGAAAAATAGATGGGACGTACAGGAAGATGTTTGAGGCATGGAATAGAAAGGAAAGGACGCTAGCTGTACTGGGGCATATGAGGTGGGTTGAAAATGCGGGAAGGGATATCGTTAGGATAGACAGACTAGGGAAGACATTTTTGAGCCACCTTTGGCAA